AGGCTTTCAAATGAATTGTGAATCTAAAATATCAGTGTTAGAGAATGTTTCCAACATTTATTATAAATCAGCATATTAGAATGATTTCTGAAAGATCATGTGACACTGAAGACTGGAGTAATGATGCTGAAAATATAGCTTTGCTTCATTGGAATAAATTATATTTGAATGTATATTAAAATGGAAAACTTTTATTTTAAATTGCAATATTTCACATTATTATTTTGTGAAATTATATTCAGTATTTTTATCTAATAGATACAGCCTTGATGAGCATAAGAAACTTCTTTAATAAACATTATTTGATCCCAAACTTTTGAATGGCAGTGTATTATACTGTAAAAAAAGAAAGTTTTCTTAGGTAACCTAAAATGTACATCATTTAGTCACGGGTCAAATTAAATACAAATAGCACATTAAAGTCTGCGTGAACCGGAAGTTGCTGCCGACTTTATTTCAGTGAAGTGATGTATTTCCATTTATTTTTGCGCTCTTCCTCTCATCTCTTACTCATGGCAAACTAACGGTTGGAGGGGTGTGTTTAAGGATATTTTGCCCAAGCCGTCAAACTGACGTCATCAGAGAAGGAATGCCATTCCAGAGCGGAAGTAAATGTTCAGATTTTGATTAAAGATTACGAAGACAAATTTTTTTTTCAGTGGATTAACTTGCATGGATTAATTGTTCACATCAAGACTAGTAATGTGTGCTAGTAAAGTAAATAGTCAATTTTGATTTCATGTGGACTTTAAAGTTAAAAGTTACACACTTTTTTTTGTGCGCGTGCTGTTCAAGTCTGTTATAAAGAATGTTTTTGCTCAGGTGGCCGAAATGTCCGCCCAATAGAGAAGTTTTGCTTGGCACGAAAAAATATTAGAGGGAACATTGGTACCGAGTACCCGGTCAACCCGGTTCTTGATGCGATATTCGAAAGGTGCGCAGATGCGCTCTCTTCATAAAAGCACTGAGACGTGGCAACCTCAAAATGAGGAGACACCTCAAACTAACAAAACACTTTAAAGATAGACACCCAGATCAAATGAAAGAGTTCAAGCAGGTAAGTTTCATTTCATCCCATACATTGATTTATTTGTGGCTATTAATAGATTTTCCAAAAGGCTTTGACTTCGTTGAATAAATGTGAGCACTGCACGTGTCAAAGTCGAAACCTGGTGCGGGTGTTTTTATATCACGGTATTTCTGAAGGAAACCAACTGTCTTCAAAAAATTATGGATGTCTTTCTCATTTCATGTTGCATGTAATGCCTGAGCACAGTGAGCAGCGTTTGTGAGCGCAGCGCTTATTTGATTATAGCGTTACTGGGGAAGCCTTTATCGCTCCCGCTCCAACAGCGCCTCCTGCTGGCAGAAAATTAGGGAACATTCATGCATAATTTAAATACATAATCACATGAAATCAGACAAAAAAAATTAAATATTTTAGAAGAGAACGCAGCATCACGGTTGTCTGAACCAATGAGCATTAAGCTGTGTCGTCCAGTCGTTTCCCATCATGCTTTTGATCAGCGCAGTCGATGGAGAGCAACTGTGCCCGACTGCACAATCCGACACAGCCGCCTCGCTGTCGCAAGAGTTTTTTGACATGTCAGCATAACATCAGAGCAAGTCGGTCGTAACTCGGACACTTTTCTAACCGGCATGCATCTTGCGGTGATCACCGGTGATCGGTTCTGCACAGATTTTGCTCATTTCAAACAAGCCTAATCCTACATTTAAAAAAAACTTGATATCACTTGCGAGTCCATGAGTTCGCCTACCAGTGGTATGAGAGGAGCACAGCTTTCACTCCTAACCAAACTAACATTACTAGCCAATCAGAATTTTTCCCCCTTATAAATACGAGATGCGTATTTGTAACGCAAATCATTTATAAACCTTTGCCAACACAGGAGAATACATCAACCTATTTCTAAAAATGCCATTTATTGTACATTTCAAAATAAAAGTTTCTGAGTTTGCATGTGGCCAAATATTAAAATTTAATGGATTTAAACATAGTTTAATCACGCTGTAAAGTGAAACGTCACCAGGCCGTGGGCACCCTCTGCAGGTATTTGTTATAATAGGCTACATAATGTACTTATATTGGTTATGTTTATATTATGTGTATAGGAATATTACATTATGTATTTTAACAGGGTTGTTCAATAAAACCATGTAATTACTTGGTTTTGATATTTTATTTGAGCCAATTATTATTGCCTCATATTTAGTTTATATATAAATAGTCATAATAAAGCCTGGTTTTCACTTAGGTCTATTTGTGTTACTAAAAAATACCAGATTACTCAATTGTCAAAATAATCAGTTGATTACCAAAATAATCATTAGTTACAGCCCTAGATTAGTTAAAATATTTCAAAATACAACTGCATTGTTATATTGTTTGTAATTAAAAGACAAATATTTTGTCATTTAAAATTTCTTAAAATAGTATTAAAATATTGTCTTGTTCTAGTGAACCAAGTATATCTGTATTTTGTCTCATCTCTCTGTATTGTCACACCCCTAGTGTTGATAAGCGGTGATATAGCTCATAATTTTCCAAGTGTATGATATAGCTTTCATTCTTCAGGTCAACCATATATTCATGAAACAAAATCAGTTTGAATAAAGAAAGCAATAAATTTGCCATAGTATCCTTTCAAATGTCCCCCCCGGGACAAATATCCTCAACCACGCCTCGTTCTAACACGCCCCCTCATGTCTACGTCACTATGTGGGAAGATTTGCATAACGCCGCCCAAATGTTCACGCAAAGAAAGAAGGCGTAACTTTTATTCTCGCTGTAGTATTGTTGCTGCCGTAATCGCCGGATCGGCTTTCACTGTGAACAAAGTGGAGTCCAGCCCGGGGTCGTCACATGTGGTTGCCGCAAGCCCACCGGACACTCCTTCGTCGAATCCACCGGCCGTGCCATTCTCAAGCCCACCCGCCTCCGCTCACTCAAGCCAGCCTCTGCTCACTCTAGCCCGCCGTGTTCCGTCACACGCTTGAGGTATTTGGCCAATCACAATCCACTGGATTTGTGACTTCTTTTTATGGCTGCTACAATGGGCTCAGTGCTAAAAACCTTTTCTACAGATAACCAAATTACAAGCAATAGCAGAAAATAAATACAATATAACAAAGACACAAATTAAATAAACAGTGCTTTTCAGGTTTTTCAAGTAGATCTAAAAGAAATTTTCAGGTACAGAAATGTAATAATCAAATGTAAAATAACACTGCATAGACTTCACTGTATAGATTAAATATAGATTAATCCTTATTTTGTTTTATTGAGATTTATACATAATCTAAAAGATGAATAAATAAGCTTTCCATTGATGTATGGTTTGTTAGGATAGGACAGTATTTGGCCGATATGCAACTATTTGGAAATCTGAAATCTGAGGTTGCAAAAAAATCAAATTACTGAGAAAATCATCTTTCAAATTGTCCAAATGAAGCTCTTAGCAATGCATATTACTAATCAAAAATAAAGTTTTGATTTATTTCCAGTAGAAAATCTACAAAATATCTTCATGGAACATGATCTTTACTTAATATCCTAATGATTTTTGGCATAAAAGAAAAATCAATAATTTTGCAGGGCTCCACGCTTCTTTTTCTTTTTTTTTTTACTTTAAAAAATTAAGGAGCACAGTCAAAAATTTAGGAGCACCTTCTAATCAATAATCCAAAAGTTTATCAAAAATTAGCCTTCCCATTACGAGGTGATATTTGAGTCCTTAAACTGATTTACAGTGGAATTTTGTTTTTACCTTTGTAATGGCATTTTTCTAACTTTATTAAAAGTATGTAATCTGTCAAATGTTTAAAAAATTCTATTTTATAAGCTTTTTAAAAATTCTTATTAAAACCACAGAATAAGAATAAGTAGAATAAGAAGAATAAGTTGCTAATCAAATGAAATCAGTATTAAAATTAATTTGTACAGAGGTGATTAATCTTTTAAAAAATGTTGAATATATTAAAGAACAGAAAAGATACTTTAAAAATGAAACAAACTGCCAGCAGGTGGCGACAAGTCACTGATTTTATCGGTGAAATCATTCATTCAATTGATTAATTCGAACGGCTGATTCATTCAGGAATGAAGCAAGTGACTGTCTTTATGAATGGATAATTATGAATCACTGACTCACAAGATTCGTTTAAAAACGCAGTGCATTCATAAACGAGACACCGCTGTGTTTGAATAGAGATGTGCAGTGGCTGAGCTGTGACTTTTTCAAACTATTTTCGTTGACGAAATAGAGCAAAATCAGACAATAGTGTTATAGTCAGACAATGTAAGTCACTTAATATTAACTTCTTGTCTATTGAACTGTTGTATTAAATCAGTATCACATTTACAAACTCCCTTAAAAATCATTAAAAGCTGTCACTCATCTTAACTCATCGCGATCTCACATTTATAATCAACGAAGCTCTCTACACTGCACAATGAATCTTTTATTTACACCGTCTACACTTTGCTTATGAAAGGATTCATGAGATATGTCTGTGATACGTTACTCAGTGCTGCAAAAACACGTAGAAACCTTTGAAGCTACACTCAGCGATCACAATCACAAATATGATGAAGATCTGGTCAGTCGCACTGGTGCTCCTAAATATTTTTTCATAGTCGCACGCAGTAGTTTTTTAGTTGCAAATGCGACTGAAATGGTCGCACTGTAGAGCCCTGTTTTGACCCATGCAGTGTATTGTTGGCTATTGCTACAAATATACCCGTGCTACTTAAGACTTGCTTTTGTGCTCCAGGGTCACACGTGTGATCTGGTGAAGCTGACAGACAGTCGACTCATAGAAAGTGATTATTCACTGATTGCAATCAGCTGAGCATCCCTCATTTGTCATTATTACTTAGATTACTTGAATATAATGCATCGTTTCACTGAGATGACCTGTATTGTCTTCCTAATCACGTGTCTAACAGGAATCTCCTCTGTCCCATTTCTCATCAACAGACACGCGTCATGGAGGGAGCCCATCAACCCGTACTACGTGAACACTGGCTACGCGCTGGCTCCCGCCACCAGTGCCAACGACAGCGAGCAGCAGAGCATGTCCAGCGATGCAGACACTCTCTCCCTGACCGACAGCAGTGTGTACGTACACATCGACAGACATACAAACACACACGGATGCATCCATCCTCGCCGCCGCAAGCTGGCGGAACATTCCATCCAAGAGCTTAGAGCGATTCAATTTCACCACGGCGTCCTGAGTCAATTTGGCAGGATTTTCCTCCAAGAAACTCGCAGCCAGTTCTGCTGAAGCCCAGATATTTCAGGAATCGAGTGGAAGATGCGCAGACAATGCTCGATATTACTTGTCATTGGCATGTCTTAAGCCAAGGCTTGCAGCCGTTAGCGGAGGCTGGTCTCAGAGCAGTGTCTCGTGCACGCAGAATTAGTGCGATTTTCCCCCAGTTCTGCTCTGGGAACAGAAACAAATCTGCTCTCCTCTGAGGAGGACCATCTGCTCATTATCCACACCAATGAAAGCTTCTAAATGTCATTACTTATGCTAATTATAGAGCTTCAAATTGGGAGGTATGAGGCGCTGCAGGCTGTAATTTGAAGGCATTGACTTGTTTCCCTTCAAATTAACTTTCCCTGAAAACAAAGGAAATAGCCTTCACGTTGGTACTGTACACAAGCAGGTTACAGAAAACAGGAAATGGAATATAGAAAACAAACAGAAATAAATAATCAAGTGTAATCAAGTTTGTCCACTCATTTCATGGCTTCCAAAATATTTCGGCCTCATTCAATTATTTTAAATGGTTGACACGAGGACGTGGTCAGCTGGATAATGCTTTGTGATATTAAAATGATTTTCCGTCTATTTATATGGAAGTGGTTATATATTTAAAGCTTTTAAAAATGCATATTTTTAAAACTGCTAATGCAGCCAACACTCAGTCAAGGTGCGGTCACATTAGTGAAATGTCATGGGCAAAAAAGGTCCATTGTCAATAGTGTATTGGTGAATGAAGCACAGCTCACACCAGTTTTTAATTTTTAACTAATGTTAGTAGTGATTAATAAATACGGTATTAATTATTTTGCTCATGCATTAACAAAAATTAATGAATGGTGTTACGGTTTTATTATTTATTCATATCAATATTATTCTTAATAGTTTACTATAACAAAACTGGCTTAGACATTTTGCTGAACATTACTACTAACTTAATGCTTTTGTGTTCCATGGGTGAAAGTAAGTCATACAGGTGAGTAAATGATGACCAAATTAGTTTTTTGGTTACTTTTTTTTTTTTTTTTTTAAATGTGTTTTGTGTAGAAGATAATGACTTCATATTAGACATAATGCCGGTATTCGGTAATGCGATACATCAAGGTAATGAATATGCACGGTATTGTTATCGTGGGCACGATAGAATATTTTCCCCATCAACTGGTCACAATTTACAACGCTGCTGTATGCTGCGTTGCAACTGAATTTCAATACCGTAATAATAATGTATACCGTGATAAAAGCATTAGCAATTAATCGCAACATGAAAATTTCATACTTCATATATTGTATATTCGTATATTGCTAAAGATTGAGAACTAAAATCTTATGCTTCTCCCTACAGAGATGGAGTCCCACCTTATAGATATCGCAAGCCGCATCGACATGAGATACACGAAAGTGCCAAAGTTAATGGGCGAGTGCCACTACCTCATATTCCTGTAAGTATGCTTTGGATTTCTAGAACACCTTGTTGACTTTACAACACTTTTTTTATGTGTGTGTGTGTCTCTACCTTTCTTTCCTTCATTCCTCTCTTTCTCTTCCCCCACTCCTTTTTTTATTTTATTTTTTTAATTTTTAACTAATGTTAGTAGTGATTAATAAATACGGTATTAATTATATTGCTCATGCATTAACAAAAATTAATGAATGGTGTTACGGTTTTATTATTTATTCATATCAATATTATTCTTAATAGTTTACTATAACAAAACTGGCTTAGACATTCTGCTGAACATTACTACTAACTTAATACTTTTGTGTTCCATGGGTGAAAGTAAGTCATACAGGTGAGTAAATGATGACCAAATTAGTTTTTTGGTTACTTTTTTTTTTTTTTTTTAAATGTGTTTTGTGTAGAAGATAATGACTTCATATTAGACATAATGCCGGTATTCGGTAATGCGATACATCAAGGTAATGAATATGCACGGTATTGTTATCGTGGGCACGATAGAATATTTTCCCCATCAACTGGTCACAATTTACAACGCTGCTGTATGCTGCGTTGCAACTGAATTTCAATACCGTAATAATAATGTATACCGTGATAAAAGCATTAGCAATTAATCGCAACATGAAAATTTCATACTTCATATATTGTATATTCGTATATTGCTAAAGATTGAGAACTAAAATCTTATGCTTCTCCCTACAGAGATGGAGTCCCACCTTATAGATATCGCAAGCCGCATCGACATGAGATACACGAAAGTGCCAAAGTTAATGGGCGAGTGCCACTACCTCATATTCCTGTAAGTATGCTTTGGATTTCTAGAACACCTTGTTGACTTTACAACACTTTTTTTATGTGTGTGTGTGTCTCTACCTTTCTTTCCTTCATTCCTCTCTTTCTCTTCCCCCACTCCTTTTTTTATTTTATTCTCTGCCTTGTCTCCGTCCATCATCTTCTGGTCTTTCCCTGTCATTCTTACTCTCTCTTTTCTTCCCCCTGCCTTGTCTCTCCCATCGCCCCTAAAATGAATGTGCATTCTTAAGATGCACAGCGGTGGCTGGGGAGCTTTGATCATGTGCCGGCGAATAGCTGATGGAGAGTGAGAGAGCGCGAGTGTGCTGTCTAAAGCGTTCCTGATGCTCTCGTCAGCTCTGCCTGCTCTGCCCCAGCAGATGTGAAGCCTCCCCCTCTGATGGCTCGGCTTTCCCACTGCACCGGATCCAGCATAATTGGAGCCTCTGAGATAGAGCCCAATTTAACAGAGCAAACATACACTTCCCCTCACCGGGGCCTTTCACTCATCCTATAGAGACTGAAAGCCGTGGAGGCAGCGAAGACACTTCAGCTCGAATGCGCGTGTGACGTACTAGAGACTCTTTAACGTTTTTTTTTCAGCGTGCACACCAATATCTGATTAGCGAATGACAAGTTGCAGATGTACAAACTTTCTTAAAGGGATAGTTCACCTGAAAATTTAACTTCTGTCATAGTTTACCTCATGTCGTTCCAAACCGGTTTGACTTTCTTTATTTCATGGAACAAATCATCTTTTGAAAGGAACTGGCACTTTAAATAACAGTTGTGGTGATTACATTGTTTCGCCAGTAGGTGGCGCCAAGTGACTGTTAATAAAACATTTATTTGTTATTGAATTACTCATTCAAGAGATTCATTCAAAAACGCTGAATCATCCAGTTATGAAGCAAGTGTAGTATTTGAATCATTCATTCAAACCGATTTTTCATAATTTTAATAAATTTATGTATTTAATATTATATTTAAAGGTGCCATAGAATGGAAAACTTTATTTACCTTGGCATAATTGAATAATAACCGTTCTGTACATGGAAATGACATACCGTGAGCCTCAAACACAGTTGTTTCCTCCTCATGTAAATCTTGTGCATGCAAAAGACCACTGAAAAATAGGCGAATCAGAACATAACACCGACTGTAATCACTAATAGTTACGCCCCAAACATTTGCATATACCCGCCCATTTTCTATGCCAGCCGAACCTGCACAGCCGAATCATCAGAAGTTCTGCAGGTATTGTGAAGAAACAAGCGAGGATAATAGCGAAAATGGCAGATCATGGAAATAAATGTTATGTTCCAGGCTGTGCAGGGATGGGTTGGTGTCTGTATTCAGAAAGACACAGAAAACAACGCGCATTCTAATAAAATAGCGCGAGCCACTAAAGGGACATGGTTAGCTGCTTGCTAGCGGTAGCCTGTTACATTACAGGGCATAAGATTTCACTTACCACATAAACAGAGTAAGGAGAGATGACTGAGGATGATGGCGAATGATTCACAGATCCTGAGCAACACTGACAAGCATCTGATCTTGTAAAATGTGTGGTAAGTACTGCCGCTGTAGTTTACACAGAGCACGTGCGATCGCAAATCTTGAAAGTGAAAGTAAAAAGCTATCGTGCATTCGAAAGCAGTTTCAATGCCCCACATATTAATATGTAGCTCCCTGATGCCCGCATTTTATATACAGTGTAATTACCTAACGATATAACTGCGAGTGACAGTATTGAAATATATATATTTCCCTGTGTTTCACTCCTGCTGTCAACTACTGAAATGAGCCGCACTGTGAAACAGCCAATCAGAGCTGAGCTCAAAATTATTATTCATGACCCTTCCAAATAAGGTAAAAACAGACCATTTCATTCTAGTGACAAATCCTAGGGTTGTAAATGGACATGTAAAACCGTTTCTGGAGATTTTTTACCCTTACCTAAGCCACATACCTTCTATAGGTGCATCTCAATAAATTAGAATGTCGTGGAAAAGTTCATTTATTTCAGTAATTCAACTCAAATTGTGAAACTCGTGTATTAAATAAATTCAATGCACACAGACTGAAGTAGTTTAAGTCTTTGGTTCTTTTAATTGTGATGATTTTGGGGTTTAGTTAAGTATTATTTGGTATACTTATGAAGTATTCTAATTGGTTGAGATAGTGAATTGGTGGGTTTTTGTTAAATGTGAGCCAAAATCATCACAATTAAAAGAACCAAAGACTTCAACTACTTCAGTCTGTGTGCATTGAATTTATTTAATACACGACTTTCACAATTTGAGTTGAATTACTGAAATGAACTTTTCCATGATATTCTAATTTATTGAGATGCACCTGTGTGTAGATATCAGAGAACAATTTAAAATATTGTATCAATGCATTCTATGGCACCTTTAACCCTCTGTTTGATAAAAAGATCGATTAAACTAAAAGTTAGATTATTTGATAAAAAATACAGTAAAAACACTCATATTTTAAAACAACTATTTTCTAAATATAATTTTAAAATATAATAAAATTTTCAGCAGTCAATACTGTATTCGTCAGTGCCACTTGATCCTTTAGAAATCAATCTAATATGCTGATTTGGTGCTCAAGAAATATTCAAATTCAAGTTATTGAAAACAGTTGTGCTGCTTAATATTTTTGCTGCCTAATATTTTTTTGTAGAAACGGTACGTGTTATTTCAAGGTTCTTTTATGAATAGAAAGCTTATGAATAGAAACCCCAAACTTTTGAATGGTAGTTCATATTCAAACCATAATATTTGAAAGTAAACAATGACACATCTAGGCCTGTTCCTCGCACAAAGCGATTGTGATTATTTAGATGTTTTCAGACTTCTTTGGAGTTTGACAGCCCCTGATAACCATTCAGATTCATTGTATGGAAAAGAGCAGATTGAACATCGTGCCTAACGTCTGCTTTTTTGTTCAACCGAAGAAAGAACATTATGTGGGTTTGGAACAACATGAACTAATTGAAGAATCTTCATTTTCAGATGAACCGTTGTCTTTTAATTGTTATTACTCCACTTTGTTCAGGTTTATCTTGTATATTGCATTCACATTGTTTATGATTCTAAACCTTTAACACTCTCTCGCTTGGATGTTTTTTCCCATTTGGTTGCATTCTGGCGTTCTGTCTGTGTTAAGTTTAAAAGGCTCTCTTATATTCTGTAAGCGTGGTCTGCGGCAGGGAGGCAGTGTTTGCACTCAAAACGCCTTGTCAAGACTTGACAGATTCTGCAGTTCCACTGGGCATGTAACCGTGTGGGCTGCGGAGGAGACTGATGAATCTTAAGCAAACAGAAGGCCAGAACAAAGAGAGCTGAAACAGACTTTAGATCAGATTTGGCCCTGTAATCAAAATTTTAACGGCTCCTGTAAGGTTTTATTGGACCTTGTCCAGGCACTGCCTGCAACTATATTTCTTCATGTGTCTGTCCTCCTCCCCCGTCTCTCTTTTTCTCCTTCCAGACTTCTGGAATAATACATTTCTTGAGCTTAAGTTGTTTAAGTTGAGTCATGTTCAATGCTTCAATAAAGATCTATATGCACCTTTCCCCTGTGCCACCTCATCTGCTCAGATAAAGAGTGATGATCTGATATTCAGCTCTTTGTTTTTTAGGTTTGAGTTCACGTTTCAAGCTCAATGTGTGAAGGTGGATTGATTTTTAGGAGTATTTAATAGGGCTGGGTTTTGACACAAATTTCCCAATTCGATTTGATTCAATATCGATTATTTTGGATATATATCTGGTACACATGCAAAATTTTCTCAAGGAAAAAAAATCTCAACTAATGCTGTAAAATATACATGAGAGTCAGTTGGTACTACATTACTATAATATTAAAGGTTAAAACTGACAGATTTTTTTAGGCTATACAACTGCTTAATTACGCTTAATGAAGTTTTTATAATAAAAGTTACATAAAATAATATTTCTACTTCAATTCGTTTTTTTTTTTAATATAAATATTTAAATGGTAGCTATCATAAAACAAATATAAATTAAACTTTGAAGAACAGAAAGTTATAATGAATATATTATATGGTTCATATATTTAGCAAAATGTCCTTTTCTACAGTTTATTTTTCTATCTGACTAATGAGTTTATGGTCACAATGTTTTTTTCTGAGGTAAATGTGAAGTTACGTGACAT